TGAGCATCCCCCATCCTGAACATCCCCCAGCCTGAACATCCCCCATCCTGAGCATCCCCCATCCTGAGCATCCCCCAGCCTGAGCATTCCCCATCCTGAGCATCCCCTATCCTGAGCATCCCCCGTCCTGAGCATCCCCCAGCCTGAGCATCCTCCATCCTGAGCATCCCCCAGCCTGAGCATTCCCCATCCTGAGCATCCCCTATCCTGAGCATCCCCCGTCCTGAGCATCCCCCAGCCTGAGCATCCTCCATCCTGAGCATCCCCCAGCCTGAGCATTCCCCATCCTGAGCATCCCCTATCCTGAGCATCCCCCGTCCTGAGCATCCCCCAGCCTGAGCATCCTCCATCCTGAGCATCCCCCAGCCTGAGCATTCCCCATCCTGAGCATCCCCTATCCTGAGCATCCCCCGTCCTGAGCATCCCCCAGCCTGAGCATCCTCCATCCTGAGCATCCCCTGTCCTGACGCCTTTCCTCTTTCCCCTGCAGCATGATGGAGTATTCGCTGGACGGACACAACGTGAGCTTGTCTGCCATTCGCACCGTCCGGGTACTTCGGCCACTACGAGCCATTAACAGGGTCCCAAGTAAGTAACACCTTCATCCACACCACAGCCGGCTGCAGCTCAGGCTCTGCTGGGCTGGCCCCCCGGGAAAACCAGGGGGCTAAAGCCACCCCAGCTATCTCTCTGTGCACGAAGCTTTGCATTAGTCATCTGCTCTCCTGCTGCTGAGAGCAAATTCATTTATTCTCATTTTTAACGGACAGTTAGAGATCATTTATTATGATTATCAGTGTTAGTAAAGAGCACGGGAGGAGATTTTACATCTGGGGGTGGCAAATTTTTGTGGCTGTTTCACAATGTTTTTGTGAACGTTCAAAAGCAAGTAACTCTTTGCTCGTGGTGCAAAGTAAATAACAAAGTTCCTGTAAAGAAAAGGGGAGAGGTCAGTTCTAAGAAGGACCTTCTTGCCCTGGGTGGGTTCATTTTCCCCTCTCAGCTATTTAAGGATTCTCCGTTTCTTTGTGTTGGGGATTAGAAGCGCAGCAGCCTCCGTTGCTGCTAAAATACACGGAGGGTTGGCTGTCGCACAGAACAGAATTGGGTTCATCCGTGATAGAAAGTTCAAGTGGCCCCTAAATCCATTTTCAAGTGGCTTCAGCTGCTGGTCTTCTAAATCCAATTTGAAAGATGAACCAACACGTTGAAATAATTTCCTGCCGGAACCAGCCGTCTGCTGAGCAAGCCTTTGCAAGGTACTAATTTCATAGCGCTTTCATCATTTTTTAACCAAAATCTGCTCAATTCAAAATGCATCGCCATTGTATGGAAATCATAGAGGTTTCTTGAAAAAAAAAAAAAAAATCCTATTTTTTTTAATAGCACATTTGAATGACACAGCCCCACGGGTCCTCGCGGAGCATCATGCCGGTATTAATTGCCCATCATGTCGGCACATCTAGGGACAGCGAAACAAACTCCCCCAGAAGGGTTTCGGTTCCAGTACCTCAGATGAACATGCAGGGGAACAGATGGATGTTTACATAGAGAAGACTTTGAAGTTTCTCTCTGAGCTCAAATTCTTCAGGATTTTTCTTTTTTTTTAAAAAAAAAAAAAAAAAAGGAAATCTATAAATTCGACAGTGACATCACTAGAAGTTAAAAACAAGACAAAAAGAAACATGAGGCTAAAAGGGACCAAGAAACCCTCCAGAGCTTTGTTTTCCTAATGAGGTTTTGTTACCAGGGTTTCGGAGCAGTCCAAAAGCACAACACAGTTTTCCTCCGGGATTTTGAGCTCAGTGGCCTTGCGGGGATGGGGACGAGCAGAGGGACACTGGCATGTGCTCGGCTCGGAGCCCCGCTGGGTTTCAGGCTGGGGCAAGGATCAGGCTCACTCTGGTTATTTAAATCCACGAAGCCCTTCGTAGCTCTCCCTTGGAATAGTGGGTGTCTCGAGCTGGGATGCAAGCGGGCTGAGAGCAGAAGCCGGGGGAATTTGAGGATTTACATGCCTGCGAAACCGAGGCCGAGGGATCCAAGTCTAGGTGAAATGTTGATCCGGGTCCAGCTTGTATTTTTCTTCCTTAGGAGTCTGATATGGAAGCTTTGAAGCAAGCCTTTTCGGCTGTCTTCTGCTGCACTTGCTGCTTTGATTTTTTAATTTTTGCAAAAGATGAGCGATAGAAAATCTTCAATGTTTTGTTAATAGCACGTGAGATTAAATCCAAAGAGCTTGATCCACGTTTGGAGTTGAGTTGCCCGGCTTGACCCACAGCTGGGCTGGTCTTAAACACTACCAGTGTCTTGAACAAGTGCCAGGGCAGGATTAGTATGCTTCGAAATATCTCGGTTCCTGGAGGACAGATAATCACAGGCATGTTTATGAGACGCTAACTCCATCCACTTTTAATATCGGCACTTTCACAGCTTCAGACTGATAGAACCCAGGGTCTGCAGAGAACGGATGGTAACAACCCTCTCTTTGGTTGTATTTTTGCAGTTTCCAGCAATAGCAGAGTTACATTTCTAGTCTTTCATCCATGGGATGCTACAGCTGAGCTGGGGGATCACCTCGGGTGCCCACCGCAGCAGCAGGTCCCGCTCAGCCCCGTCCCTGCCCTCCCCAGCGCTGGGACGGCAACACTCCCCTGGCCACCGCGCTGCTGGCAGGAGCGGGGTTTGCGGCTCAGTGGCAATCGCGAAAGGACATCGAGCAGATACAAATTACAGCTGGGTCAGAAGAGACAAACCAGGCGTTCAGTCGCAGGCACAGGGGAAGCAGGGAGCCATGAGAAATAGCCCGGCGATTTATCCCCGTGATGCCTGGGCACTTTCCTGGGTTCCAGCCAGTGCTATTAGCTCTTTGCTTCCAGGCACAATAAATTCACCCACAAGATTATTTCATTTTTATTTTATTTGTTAAGAAAAGAAAGGAGAACCCCAGCCAATAAAAACATCATCTCTATTAGAAATTATTCCTTGAAAATGACTGGAAAAACATAATTCCTGCAATTTATATGTTTGGCAGGGGCTGTAGTCAGGGTGGGTTTTTTTTAGTAGTGGTCACTGTTTTTTCAGATCAATTTCACTGCTTTATTTTTATTTTTCTACTATGTGGTTTAAACTGGGCATCACATGGAATGGGAACAAAAAGAAACCCTGATCCTTGTTTCAGCCTAACCGATGCTCGTGGTCTTTTCCCAGGGCACATCTGACGTTCTGCCCCGAGCCCAGAGCACGCTTAGCGGATAGTGAACAGATGGATTCAATCTCGAGAATGGTGCCACTAAACAACCCAAAATACCAAAAGCAGCTGAGCGTAAAAAAGTTGTCTGGCACGGGGAGATAAATTTTAACCATTTTTGGAAAAAAGAGAGGGAGGATATTAGTGAGAGTGGGGGGAAAAAAAAAAAAAAAAAAAGAAGCAAAGCCTAGCGTCATCTTTCCAGTGGGAATTCAGTGAGTCTTTTCTGCTTTTCCAAAGATAGATTTGCAAGGGCAGTGCAGCGGGATGTGCTTCTCAGAGGGCTTACGATGACAGCACGTGTTGGAAACACGCATTATGAAACCAAACCCCCATTTTCCTCCAGCTCCGGGGTTGCCCCTGCACTTGGAGCAGAGTCCGGTGCTGTCCCCGTGGGTGGCACCAGCGTTGCGGTTTCGGCGGATGGCAGGGATGCTGCCCAGCATCCCACACCACCCGCGGCGCTTGCCGACGGAGCCGGGCT